GTGAAAGGGTAACCTGTTTTATTTCCTAAATAATTTATTATTTTTATTTATTTTAAATATAATCAATATGCATAAATATGTTAAATATAAATTAGAAATATTTATTAATATATCATATTTATTTATATGCATACATGTATTAAAAAGTGAAAAGGTAACCTGTTTTTCTTTAAACAATTAAATTCAGTTATTATATATATATATATTATACATACATTATATATATAAAAAGTGAAAGGGTAACCTGTTTTCATTTAAAAAAAATTATATTCAGGTATTTATTTATATATTTAAAAATATAATTGATTGGTTTATTTGTTTATTATGAATAAATAATATAATATTTATTTATATATATATATAAGTATAATATAAAAACTCAAATGATAACCTGTTTTTTCCACTAATTATATGCAGTGTATTTATTTATTTAAAATAGAATAAATGTTTATAAATAAATATTCAGTATTATTTATTAATGTCATATTTATTTTTATAGATACATAAACATAGAAAAAGTGAAGCGTAGTCTTTTTAAAAGAAAATATATTCATTTATATTCAAATGTTTATACATATTCATCAATATTGTATTTATCATAAATATTTATATTATTTATTAAAATATCATATTAATAATATATCAAATGTAACCTGTTTTCTTCCAAGAATTATATTCAGAATATATTGAAGATCTTTTTAAAGTGTAGCTGATCTTTATCCTCACATGTGCTCCATCTGTGCTTCAGTGGAGAGGTCAAGGGTCAGTCTGTCTACAGGACCTGGAGAATCATCAGACTACATCAATGCCTCTTATTTAATGGTGAGACTCTTGTTCTTGATGCTCCTGTTTAGATTCCTGTATGTAATATGGTGTGATTCGACGAGTCTGTGCCCTTTACAGGGGTACCATCAGAGCCGCGAGTTCATCGTTACCCAGAATCCTCTGCCAAACACCATACAGGACTTTTGGAGGATGATCTGGGATCACAATGCACAGATCATAGTTTCTCTGCCAGATACACAGAGCGCCGTGAGTCACACGCACACAAACACCTTTAAACTTCTGCACACATCCGTATGTAATAACTGAGGCCTGTCGTTTCTGACCGTCACAGAGCAGAGAGGGAGAGTGTGTGTACTGGCCCACTAAAGATCAGCCAATCAGCTGCGAGACCTTCACTGTGACCTTCAGGGGTGAGGACAAACTGTGCCTGTCCAATGAGGAGTCACTCGTGGTACAGGACTTCATTTTGGAGGCCCTAAAGGTGAATAAAACTTATTTCATTTATGTAGCCAGAACTCAGTATTTGCAGCTGCTCAGGGTAAACCTCACAAAACCTGTCAAGAACATTTATGCATATAGCATAAAAATTAATGTATTGACATATTTTAGTGCCATTTGAATTTTTTTCATTCTGATAATATTTTTATTGTGATATTATTTTCATGATAATTAAACGTATTTTACAACTCAATACAGGAAAATAAATAAATAAATGGCAGTGGTTGTTGTACTGCCTTTATTTTAAATAAAAATATTTTATTACAGTAGTTTTTACTATATTACAGTAATGTTCAACGATATCACTCATGAAATGGTTTGAAATTTAAGAAAAAAATTCAAGTAAAACATCTTAACACATTACAGTACACATGACAATTTATAATATTGTAAAAAAAAAATCTATTTATGTTATTTATAATTATTATTTACAATGCAATGAAAATAAATAAATAAATAGTAGTAGTAGTTGTACTGCCTTTAATTTAAATAGAAATGTTTAATTACAGTAATTTTTTACTATGTCACAATAATGAAATACTAATGAGAATCACTTGGAAAATTATGTGAAATTTAAGAAAAACTGTAAGTAAAACATCTGGACACATTACAGCAATGATGATTTATAATACTGTAAAATATTAATTTATAATATTATCATAACTATTCTTTATAATATTATTAAATTAGAATATTATAAATTCATAATAATTACTATTATTAAAATATCACTGTGTAATAATGTATAATGTCATTTAATATGTAAATGTAAAATAATCAGAAAAACTTGTTAGTGGCACTAAGATAGGCTTTAAATTTTTTATGTAAAAGTATATATTTTTGTTCATTTTGATGTTTTTGTGACATTAAAAACAAAGCAAACTTAACATTTTCACATTTAACATTTCTGAAAGTCGTCTTTGTACTGGACATTGCATCTCTGAAGCATTTAAGTCTACGGAGCAACAGTTTGTTTTGCGTGGCTGTGTGTGACAGGATGACTATGTGCTGGAGGTACGGCAGTACCAGAGCCCTCGCTGGCCGAACCCTGACAGCCCCATCAGCAACTCCTTTCAGCTCATCAACATCATCAGAGAAGAGAGCTCGCGTCGAGAGGGACCCGCCATCATCCATGATGGGTAGAGTCTCATAGCATTTACAAAAAAGACTCTATCAGTGACTGATATAGAGAGGAGAGTGTCACTCCTCACTGTTTCTGTGCAGGTCTGGAGGGACGAGTGCTGCTTTACTTTGTTCACTGACCACCCTGGTTAACCAGCTGGAAGAGGAGAACAGTGTGAACGTTTATCAGACCGCCAGAATGATGAACCTCATGAGGCCGGGAGTCTTCAACGATATTGTACGATGACTGTAGTATACCTTGATAAGATATGAATTATAAAATGTGCATGGTTAAAGGAATAGTCCCACTCACAAATGAAAATGTGCTGAAAATGTCCTCACCCTCAAGCCATCCAAGATGCAGATGAGTTTTTCTTCATCAGAACAGATTTGGAGAAATGTAGCATTGCATCACTTTATCTAATGCTAAATTTCTGCATTTCTCCAAATCTATTCCGACGAAGAACTACATCTTAGATGGAGTGAGGGTGAGAAATGTTCGGTAAATTCTCATTTTTGGGTGAATTATTCCTCTAACATCTTCCTGTGTGTGCAGGATCAGTATCAGTTCCTCTACAAAGCGATCCTGAGTTTGGTGAGCACCAAGGAGGACGAGAGAGCTCTTCACTACTCGGAAAACAACGGCACGGTTCCTGCCAACCCCTCGGAAAGCCTGGAGTCTCTCATGTAGATATACAGACCGCTGTCACCCTTCACCCAAGGAAATGTACACTGAATCAAGAGAAAGTAGTTTTTGAAACCCTCCTAAAGTCTCTACATGGACTACGTGGGTACAGGATATACTATAATTTGGTCTTTTACTGGGCCTTTGTACTTTAAAATGCTTTGATATAATATTACTGTTGTAACTAATGCCAAAATTTCTACTCTTTGGAAAAGCAGTGACTGCTGTATTGCTGGTGATGTCTTAGTTTTTAGTCGGACATAACTGTTGAAGAAATATTTATAAGTAGCAGGGCAGAAGATTTCATATGCTATCTATTTTGGGGTAAAAAATCTTAGATATAAAAGCATTCTTGAACGTAGCCTCATAGTTCAGAAAAGAGAGGTGTGGTTCTAATACATAAAACCATCGGCCACACCAACAGACCAAAATACATTTATATGACTAGCGCTTCTTTTTTTTTTTTTTTACTATGTTTGTTATTGGAGAAATTGAATGTTTTGGGTTTTTTTATTGTAGAGAAATTTCTTTATTAACTTAGTTGATATGTTGTAATAAACATTTTTTCGTACATTTCTCATTTGTAATCCGTACCGCATCATTCTAGATTTAAATCCGCAGTGAATCTGTGTCGTTTCATAAGCACCATTCAGTTCTATATCTCCATATTTATCAACTTTTATTTAAACTAATCATTTAGGCCTTTTGTCAAGCATTAACACAGAACGTACTTGGATACAAGAAAGCAAGCACAATAAAAAAACCAAACAGGATTTTACACGCACATCATTTCTTCTACATTCGTGTTTGTCATTTCTTAACATTGTACTTTCTTCCATTGAGCTTCCAAATCGCTAACCACAAAATGTAAAGTGGGTGAATTTAAATATTTTGTTTAAAAGTGTTGCAGTGTGACAAACTAAACTTTATTATTTTTATGAATTGTTTAATTCTTATAAAAAAGTGATATTAAGAGACTACATGTAATAATTTTTAACAAAAAATATTCGTGTTAATTGAAGTCCGTAGGCACGTCTACTAACCGAAAGCATAAAAACCAACATGAGTATTTTGCTCTAATTGTTTCCCCCCCTTTTATGGAATTGATGTTATTTATCTAATCGTTGATTATTTTGATGCGTTGCATTGTAAAAGTTTCCTAATTTTTGTATAGATATTATACATTTCGTTTGTGACCTTTCAAGATATTATTTGAGACTACATATAATTTTTAACATAAAATATTAATGTTAGTCAATGTCTGTACTACTAACCAAAAGCATAAAAATGTAAAAGCTAAATATTTTGCTCTAATTATGTAATTGATTTACGTTATTTAGCTTAAAATGATTCTTTTGATGAGTAATGTATTATACATTCAGATTTGATGACCTTTCAAGATAATATTTGAGATTCAAATAATTTTACGTCAAAATATTAATGTTAATTTAAGCCCCTAGGCACGCTATATAGCACAAATTCATAAAAATGCAAAAAAAAAAAAACCTTTTTTTTTTTTTTATTGCATTTTTTGTGTGTTATTCAGCTAGCAATTGATTGATATTGATGTTTATTTTTGGTCATTTTTAGTTTTTATTGGACCTTGATCTGGGCCTCAGTCTCATTCAGCACAAGGCTACAACTCCAAATTAAAACTGGTTTTATAATATGCACATATACATTTTACTCTAAATTAGTTTAAAGGTCCATCATTGGAGTAAATGTTCCCTCTCATTGCCTGGTCAAAATTGAAAGAATGGTTAATTCTGTAATATTTCCTATATCATATGATCTCTATGATTTCATTTTCAGCTCAATCTATGACAAACAGCTGTAAAAAAGAAAATGCACAACCTAAACGGACAGTGTTTATTTATTCAGTATTTAACATAAACATAATATATGTACATGAAGATCATGAGGACTTCAGATGGGCCATTTCCACTGGTTCGCCGGTGCTTCCTCTACGAGAGGTTCCCACGGTTTCCATTCGGTCATCTTCCTGGACAAAGCCAGCTCAGCCTCAGCCTGCAGACACACCAGACAGACTGAGGTACAGCACACTGTATTCACTCTCTATTAACTCCGTTCTCCTAAATGAGGCTTTGAGATCTTTCATTATTGCATCTTCTCACCTGTGCAATAACCTCCTCAATCTGTCCACAGTTGATTTTTTTTTCAAGCTTTTCTACGTCTGGCTCCTTTATAGCACAAAAGTGACACATATAGAAATCAGGACTCTTGTATCAATATGCGTTTTAATACTTAAACCTCAATCTCAAAAAGTCTATTTGAAATTTCTCACAGCTTTGACGTGGTTGAACCTCTGGTTGATCAGTTGCTCAGTGTATTTCCTGTAGGCAGCATCCTGAGGCATAGTTTGTAGAGAGCCCAGGATCTTTGTGTACAGAATCCGAAGACGCTTTGGGAAAGAAAGCCACAATTCAATAGACAGCATTCTAATATGTACAAGTCCTCTAACTTAAAACACAACTTTGCAACAAACAAAACACCTAGATTGTATATGCAAGTAAAATAATACATGCAAGCAAAAATTAGAATTGATCAAAATGAAATCAAAATACTCACCTCATGTGGATTGTGGGAGACAGCAAGGCCAACCAAGCCTGTGGTCTAAAAATAAGACGATCAAAAGATGCATATTTCCATGCATGAACGTTACTCTTTAATGAACGCGTCAAAACAACGTATGCAATAAAGTCATTCAACATTTAACCATTAATACAACATTTACCATTAATAATAGTCATATAAATCTCACTTTGAAGTGTCAAATGCACAACTTGATTTCCCATGCATGACATTTACAGCTCTAAAAAGACATTAAACTACCAAACGAATCACTTGTATTATTATAAACCCTATTTTCTGTAGGATGGCGATAATTCAGGTTTCACTACAGCAGCCATCATAATCGACCAAAACAAAGCACGACTCGTGCATTTAAATACATGCAAACGCTGGGGACAGACGTACAGAAAAGGCGGCGATATTCAAACGCTCCAGTATTTAGAAACTAGCTTCATTTACGGATGAATATGAATCGTTTTTAATAATATATTTTCATGACCTCCGCACGTACCTTCTTGATCAAACCAGCCATTTCTGCCGATGCGACTCAACGACGCAACTTCCGTCGCCTGACTGTGACGTCCGTGGCTCGCTGATCTCTTCATGCTGTAGTCCGTAACTTTTTTTTGTGTTCAAGATGTACAAAATTTATATATAATCGAGTACACCACGAATCCATTTTCCAAACCGTGTTTTTTGGCTTGTCCTGAATCACTACGGTACACCTATAATAAGTGTTTATATTCGGACTATTTTAGACTGGTTCGGGTAGGTACCACTGCGGAGTAAACCAGCGTGATTCGCCATAGACATAAACAGAGAGAAGTAGCTCCGGCTACAATGTTCTTCCGCAAGACGCACACAGTTCTGTTTATTAACCGCTAGCGCGCCAAAAGTTAGCTTTAACTGTTTATTACAAACTTTTCAAAATAATTCATAAATTCTAACATTTTCTCAGTAATTTTAAGAAGGATATTGATGTTAATTGCTCTTTGGACTTGGAAACTGTACCCCACATCTTCTGGCACTGTAAGTTATGTTAAAAAGTTATGGTATGATGCTTCTATGTTTATCAAAGAAAAGGTACTCTTTAATTTAAATTTGCATTTTGAAAATGTAGTTTTTGGATATTTTAATTAGGATAATGTGAATAACGAAGTTTTTGTTATTAATCTGTTTATTTTGTTGGTTAAGTTCCCCATTTATAAGTGTAAATTTACTAAAAAAAAAACAAAAAACTGTTTTACAGTGTTTTATAAAGAGTTGGACAATTACTTTTGTACTATTCAATATAGTACTAATAATAAGGCAATCCTTTGTTCCCCTGGCTTTATACTGTCTGTTGTATTGTTCTGTATCTGTCGTTTAAAGCATAATAATAATAATAATAATAATAATAATAATAATAATAAAAGTTAACTGTTTATTAAATATTATTTGGCTAATTTGTTCTTTCTTTTAGCCAAGTATTATCTAAGTTTTAAATATTAAATGATATTTAATTATTTTTTCTTATATTATTAATAGAGCATTATTTTATTAAGTAATTGTAAATAGGTTCTACATTTAAACTTTAAATAACTTTTTTGCGCCCTCGAAGTTGAGTTTTTAAAATGATCTATTACATCTTGAAACTAATTTCTTAAAATTAAATTTGTCTGCCTCGTCTTACTAAATAATACTACCAATAATAATAATGTAATTTTTAAATTACTATTTTTAAAACAATGTACATTTGTTTGAACAAAATGAATACAAAATATTGTACAAATTCAATGTCACAACAACACTATTGTACTTTGTTCTTTAAAAGTATTCTAGCGCTGGCACTATTAAACATGTTTTTCGAAAATATTTTACATATATAAATCAAATCGTTGTAAATGAAGTCTTAAATTAGTTGCAGCAGTATAATACCTAAAATTCACCACAGGAGGGTGGTTTAGTTTCTCTTACTAGAGGTTTAAAAATATAATTTATTTATTTTAGGAAATCATTTTTTCAAGTTTTTTTTCGGAGCTGCTGTAATCAATAATTTATCAAATAATTTTAAATGAATGCAAAATAATTTTAAAACAAGATTTATTTCTTTAGAAATTATATAGAAATAAGTTGCAAAATTGCATTTCCACACAGTCACCACAGGAGGGCAGTAACTTTCCTGATTCCAGTTTAAGTGACAAAAACCTCCGTTGAGTCTTAAAGGGGTCATATGATGCTGCTAAAAAGAACATTATTTTGACACTAATTGACCACAAGAGGGAGGTGAACACATATTTTCACTTAATTAATAGGGATTTTTCTGCTATGGAAGAAACTAAAGTACTGCAACAGCCACTGTCATAGCCAGCATTTTATCTTTGAGTAGTAGAAATAAAATACCGATTAAATATTTAAATATTCATAATAAGGATTGATAAATGTCACCATGTCCTGAGACTTAATGAGGATGTTTGGTAGTTACAGATGACTGAGCAAAGATCACATGAGGCTCATAAGAAGATCAGAGTCTCAGCTACATGCAGCTTTTATTTCAGTGTCAGAGAAGGTTCCAATCTTGTCTGTTTTAAAAACTCAAACAAACAAACAAAAAAAAAAAACAGAGATAATTTACAGATTCCCCAGATCTTGATCAGACAAGCATCCCAACAACCACACTTCTGTGATGACCAGGCTGGTTTCATCTTAGTTTTTCAGGCAAAACCAGTGAAACTAAAGCATTTTTCCACCACAAGAGTGAGATTCAAACCATGATCTTCCTCAGGAGGGAATAACACTCAGACCACTAAACTACCAGCAAACCTGTATATTGCCTCTTTTTTTTTTGGACTTTTGTCTTATTTCATCCTTTTAAAGTGCACAAGATTTGGACCTGGATATTCCCCATGAGGGCGACACTCACACTTGTGACTGAGGCTCTGATCTTCTCATGAGCCTCACAAGAGTGAGATTCAAACCATGATCTTCCTCAGGAAGGAATAACACTCAGACCACTAAACTACCAGCAAACCTATATATTCAACCAATATTTTATTTCCAATACCCACCTATGACAGTGGCAGGCACTTTCTATCATAACAGAAAAATCCCTGCTAATTAAGTGAAAATATGTGTTCATCTCCCTCTTGTGGCCAATTAGTGTATAAAGCATGACTGAAACCAATATTTTTGTTTAGCCGGATAATAACAGTTCTGGATTTTAAATTTGGACCTGGATATTCCCCATGAGGGCGACACTCACACTTGTGACTGAGGCTCTGATCTTCTCATGAGCCTCATGTGATCTTTGGTCGGTCAACTAGTCTCTGTAACACCAAACATCCTCAAACCACTCAGAGAGTCTCAGGACGTGGTGATATTTATCAGTACCTTTTACGAATATTTAAATATTCAACCAATATTTTATTTCCAATACCCACCTATGACAGTGGCAGGCACTTTAGTTTCTATCGGAACAGAAAAATCCCTGCTAATTAAGTGAAAATATGTGTTCATCTCCCTCTTGTGGCCAATTAGTGTATAAAGCATGACTGAAACCAATATTTTTGTTTAGCCCGATAATAACAGTTCTGGATTTTAAATTGAAAGTTCTTGCAATGTGAGTGACTATCAAGGACAGTAATTGAGCATTTGTGATGGTGACAATCTTAATAAATATTTACACGAAAGCACAAAGTCTTGAGGTTTAAACTACAAAAAATTAAACTGATAGTAATAAATTCTAATGTAAAAGACCAAAAACAAAAATGTCTTCAGCACAGTCACTGTGGTACAGTGGATAATTGTTCACCTTTGGCTATGACATTAAATCCATCAAATCCATCGTTTTATCACTTAAAATGAGATTCAAACAAGATAAAACTTTGAAAGCTACTAAAGCCCAGTGGTGCAGAGGCTGAATAAGTGACTTAACATCAACCTGCGCCAGAGACGTGTTCAAATTCCACAGATGTCATGAATGATTTTTACTCAGTATATGACCAGAAATAAACAAAACCCAACCCTCACAGCTTCTGTGGCTCAGTGGTTAAATGCTTCGATTGCAAACATGAAAGTCTGGGTTCAAATCCCACAATTATTAAAGTTATTAATCATTTTGAACAAATCTCTCAATAAAAACCTGTTCAAAATGTTCATCATCTCCACAGGCTCTGTGGCTCAGAAGATAAAGCTTTGTGTTTTAATCCGGGAGATCTGAGTTCAAATCCCACTATTGCTTACTTTAAATCAATCTCAGCCAGCAAAGTCACTCAAACACCAAAACACAACGCAGAATTCGTGATGGATCAGTGGATGAACACACGTTCTTTGAGGAGGATGAGACTGTGATGGAGACGTGGGTTCAAATCCCACACAGAGCTTCCTTCAACTTCTTTATTGGGAAATCACAGGTAAACAGTCAGATATAAGTTTCTTCATGTGCTCCAGCAAGAGATCTGTGGCTCACAGGTAAGAGCGCTGCCTCACGGGTTCAGAGGTTGCTGGTTTGATCCCAGCCAGGTCTCTGCGATACGAGTGAATGCTGGAGTGTGTGTGACGGTGTGCCTGAAGAAGGGGGATATCAGTACGGTCTCCCCCTGGAGCTTCCAGCACCGTGACCCGCAGCGGTTATACTTTTGAACAGACTGAAAAAATAAATAAAGCTGCATAAAAACTCTCATCCCCCGTCCCTTCCCCATCTACTTAGGTTACCATCATTTGCTTTTCAAAGAGGAGGCCCTTCAAAAAGAAAATGATGGTACCCTACATGTTTAGTGCACTAGAACACACATTCACACATGAGATACATTACCTGTCCCTGAGCAGATGTCCATCATTACAGTCAATGTCTGTCCACACGTCCCAGAGCTCTGCTTCAGCCGGACCAGTTTACAACCAACAACACATCACTTATTCTGGAGAGTCAAGACAGATATTATTAGACATACTGTATATCAAGACTAAAAACAGGTAATAAAAATAGAGAAATATATTAATGTTGCATATTTATAAAACACTGCGGACTGTAATGCGGTATCAATCAGTTTCCTTCAATCTACTGTTCGTTTCGGATCAGTTCTGATGATGCTATTAATTAAATTTCTTGCAGGCCACAAAAAAATACAATGGAAAGTGTTTTTACGACATATTTTTTAAAACAAATAAAACATGATTTTAAAGGCTGTGCTCTTATGAAGACAGTCAGAACTAGAATCATCAGAGCTTCACACAACACCTGCTGCAGGATCAACAGAGACAAACAGCGCGATTCCTCAGTATTACACTTTACAATGTCAATCACAGGGCGATTCGATCAGAGATTATAAACGAAACGCAACAACTACCGATTCATTTGCTAAACAGCGCGTGCAAGTCACTGAACAAGAGAAATTCGCTTTATGCGGAAAGTTACTTACAGGTGAGTCGCGTCACACTCGATTCCAGCGTTTCATCGGACCGTGTGTTGGTTTTATTTGCAGATTCGCTGAAAAACATGTTGTTAAACTGACATTAACAGCTGTCATCTGCAGGATCTGCACGTGTTGTTGTTGTGACTCTCAAGCGTCATGTTGTCAAGCAGCTGAAGGAGTCCGACTGAAGCTGAAACCCGATAATGCCGCCTAGTGGCGCGGAGGCAAAACTGCACTTTACTTTCTACAATTCTGCTATTCGTGGGAAATTGTTGATCTTGTTTATGTATTTTAACAAGAACAGAGAGAACAGAACAAATTCCTGTTTAAGTTCATTAGACTCAATTTGCAGCGGTGTAATTCACAAAAATCACCACAGGAGGGCCTGCTTTAGGTCCTCTGGCTTTTTTGCATGTCCGTTTATTTTAGTAGAAGAGGACAGAACAAAATCACACACAAACAATAACCTAAAATAGCAATGCACAAAAAATACCACAGGAGGGCGTTCATTAGACTTGGTTCAACTTCAGAGTAGTCTATCATTCTGTGGTGATTTTTGTGAATCACTATCGAGTAAAATAATTTAAAACTGGTTTCTCCCTCCTGTGGTGATTTTTCTGAATTACACTGCTGCAACTTATAATAAATGCTAATGTAAAAGACCAAAAACGGTGAATTCAACACAATCTCTGTGGTACGGTGGATTATTGTTCACCTTTTGGGTGTATTGGGTCAAATCTAGCAAGTTTTAAAGATACTTGTATCCCTTAAAATGAGCTTTACACTACAAACAAGATAAAACGATAAACCATCTGTTTTATTTGAAGCACAGTGGTGCAGTGGCTAAACATTAGACTTTAACTCATGAAATAGCAACCGAGATGTGTTCACATCCCACATATGAATTGAATGCCTTTTACTCAGCCTAAACTGACATTAATATAAACTTAAAATCTAAATGACTGTAAAAACAACAACAGAGTAACGTTTCTGTGGTGTCTGCTGGAGTATTTGGGTGATGCTGCTCTTTCTTTGGCAGACTTGTCATTCTCGGTTTAAAATGTAACTTTAACTGTATAAGTACTAGTTATTCAATCTTATCCTGTGTGTCGGTCTATCAAAGACTTGTTTACATTTCGCTGTCTTGCTGAACTCCCTTGTCAGGCATGTAGAAGCAAATGTCTTTACCTTTGTGTTGTGAATCGAAGGAGGCTATTCCAGTACAGCTCTAGTGCTTTTTAAAATGCTCAAGAAAAACCCATTCAAAACAATATAGGCAAGACTTTGTCAGATTCAGTTGCTCAAGTGATAACGCATTGCTTTTTAATCATGGAGTCTTGAGTTCGAATCCCACTATTGCTTGTTAAATTGATGTTTAAAGTAATGCTGTAGCTAAACTGAAAATCAACCAATCTGAACCCACTCAAACATCACAACATTTGTAGCTCTGTGGCTAATTATTTGCCATGTGTTATCATATGTCGAGTTCTTGGTTCAAATCCGACAATTGCTAAAAGTTTTCTACCGTATAACGCAAAAAAGAAAAAAAAAACATTAAAAACAACATCGACTTCATCAGATTCAATTTAACATATGCAATTGCTGAAACAATTTAACATAAGCAATATTGGGATTTGACTTCAGGATTAAAACACAACTTAAAAAGTGTTTGTGGACATGGCTTTATTGAGAGTTTTGTTTTAAATGCAATAGGTTTTGAACAAAAGACTCCATGCATAAAATACAATATTTTACTTTTTGAGCCAATGAGGTATGCATGGTAAATTAAAGCTTAAAATTTAAACATTTTTTACACTCAAGTTTAAAAATAGCAAGATTTGAACCAAGACTTTCATGTATAAAAAGCACATAATGATTCCCTGCGCATCCAAATTTTCATACCTCATTTTGTTTTAGCTTTTGTGATTTTATACTGGAAAAAATTAAGAGTTTAATAAAGAGTATCTTCATTTGTGTTCCTAAGATAAACAAAAGTTGACTTACCTGAAGCAAACTGCAAGATTTTATATTTTTGTAAATCACCCAATTATTTCCCACACTAAATCACTCTTTATTTATATGATGAATTTCACTGTTTCATCTCTGCAGAAATAATTTTAAGACTTTTGGAAAAAAAAAAAAACTCTTTAGAATGAAATATGCATCATTTGAGTAACATACACAAAACACTTTTCTCCATATAAGCTGTTGTGCATATGTGCAAACAATCCCACAAATGGTAAGAACTTGATCAAACTTTATCAAAATGATAACACATACATAACTAGTAAATAAAATAATTTGTTTATTCAAATTAAGGCTTTATTGAATATATATGAATTGTGTCACAAAACAGTCCAAGCCTGGAAGTTTCTAGCGTCCCAAAGACCTTGATTAGCTGCTTCAGCTGTTTTTAACCAGGGTTGGAACTAAATTCAGGTAAGTGGAGAGGATGTATATATATGTAAGTTGATCATGTCTAACACATGATGGCGTTATTTCCTGTGACCCAAAAGTTACACAATGTTTACTTTATTGTAAATACGCTACCTAGTGGCAACAAATGAGGTTTTCAATGGCCAAATATACCATTGGTGTAGAGCAGGGGAGTCAAACTCAATTCCTGGAGGGCCGGAGCCCTGCACAGTTTAGATTCAACACACACCTGCTCCAACTAATCAAGTCCTTCAGGCTTATTTGAAGAATACTTGGTATGTGCGTTGGAACAAAACTCTGCAGGGCTCCGGCCCGCCAGGAACTGAGTTTGACCTTCCTAGCGTAGAGGGATTGACTGTTTTTCCACTCATGTGAGCTGTTGGTGTTAATAACTGAATACATTATATTAGACATCTAATGAAGGGGACATATGGGCAAAGATAGACATTCTAACATAAAAAAGATTAGATTGTATTTGAAAAGGTCAAGTGCCTGGAAGCTTCATTAAGGTCACCAAACTTCGTAAGTGAACCTAATTAATAATAATGAGCATATCCATTCTGTATTTTAGTGTTTTTTTAAATGTCAAATTTATTGAGTGCAAAACAGATTCTGCATTGTGAAAAGGCAGATGTTTAAAAAGGCAGATTATTAACAGACATGAACAATCAAATCAGTCAAATGGATTTGGTTCCAAATATTAAATCAGACTGACGACTGAACATGAGCAACAATTACCTGCACATTAAGCCCATAAACACACACACATAAAGCTGAACATCATGAAACAATCCTCATTCAGATAATGTGTATTTGTATCAGTCTTGTGGAGTTCTTTATGTCTTCTGTCTAAGACCATGTGTGTCTGTGAGCCGCTACACGTGAGGGAACTCGAACCCTTTTGGCTGGTCGTGTCAAAGTGACCCGCATTCCTAGAGTGTCAAAAGCGGGTCAGCACCAGATATATTCTCCAGGACCTGTGAAGACACACTCAGTCTGTTTTGCAGCGCTGCAAGGTGCATGAGATTTCTTCCGATAGTTAATTAAAAAGTTTCAGTACAGATTCATAGTGACAACTGGAAATTGTCAAAGTTGTGTCAGTTTTATAATCCATCTGCATGACTCAAGTTTTCATCGAGATTTTTTCATGTGTGCATCTTTTTCAGCTCTGAAGCTACAATGGGCTACATGGAATGAATGGATGAAGATCAGCTCATTGAGTTTGTTATTCAGATGAGCCTCCAAGATGCTTGCAGTCTCTATTTTGAACATATCACTAAGGTATGCACAATACGTATTTCAATATACTTGTAATATATCTATAGTAATAATATACTTATTTCAAACAAAGGTATGTTTTAGTCTCACACATTCTCTCATGCAGGACTTTAGAAACAGCCAGTGATGAAAACCTCAAGATTTTATCTGCAATAGATCAAGGTATTTCATACGCAGTGTTGGGGAAAGTTACTTTTAAAAGTAATGCATTACAATATTGCGTTACTCCATAAAAAATGTATTAATTACGTTACTTAGTTACTTTTTATGGAAAGTAATGCGTTACTTTACTAGTTACTTGAAAAAAGTAATCTGATTACGTAACTCGCGTTACTTGTAATGCATTACCCCAACACTGTTCACACGTGTGCCTAAATATCAATGCTCTATTTTGATTTCCCAATGGCATGATATTCCACATATGGGTGTGTAAAATTATTCAGATGATGTGTTTGCACTGAGGAAACTGCAGAAGTACAGTGCTGCCTATAAGGAAAGAGACAGCAGAGGTTGGCTTCCGATGCACAGAGCGTCTGTCCAGTCTGATGTCTGTCTGTTGGATTGCGTCCTCCTGGGTGAGCAGAATCATGTCTGTGGTAAAGTACACATAAATGAGTCACAATTAGTTCGATATAAGGCAGAAGTATATATACTGGCATCTTTTTTTTCCTGGATAGCATCTCATGAGCTGAGCATGGAGGAGATGACGGCCGATGGAGACACCGCTCTGACACTGGCTTGTCAAGCAGGGCATGTGGAGAGCGTAAAGGTTCTTCTCCAACGCGGAGCATCTCCACACAACACGAACAGCAGGAACGAGACTCCACTACTCCTGGGTATTACAACAAAAACATCATCAAATTAGTCTTGTCTCTTGTTGGAGCTCTCAATAAGCAATTAAAGGGATAGTTCACCCAAAAATGTAAATTATCACGCTCCATTTGTATAAGTTTCTTTCATCTTTTGAGCACAAAAGATGATATTTTAAAGAATGTTGGTAAACAAACAGTTGACGGTAGCCATTGACTTCCATTGTATGGAAAAAAATACCATGGAAGTCAATGGCTACCGTCAGCTGTTTGGTGAACTGTCCCTTTAAGCAGATGTCGTTATAAACAAAAGTTATTTGGATTACAATTTCATTACTTCCCCAGGTGAATATCATGAATAAATGACAGAACTTTATTTCCCCTAACATAAGAAAATAATAAATAAAAAACAAGAAATTGTATTTGGCATTAATAAAAAGATTTAATCATTAATATATTATTATTAATATTATGAATAACAGTTTAATAATGTTTTAAGACCATTAATATTTTTTGCATTGTGGCATTATTCTCATGACAATTAAGCACATTTTACCCAATTTAATGTGATTCTCATAAATGTAATGAAGTGATAAATTATCTTGTATGGACAATTTTTTATTCATCATTTAAAAAAAAATTTTTTAAAGATTTTTTCTCAATAAATCTTATTCAAATGATATAGAAATCAGCATTACTTTAGCACAACATAATAATGTACAAATACTGTACTTTATACAGTTGAAATAAAAGTTTTTGTTTTTCTCCACATTACAGTTGGCAACTGAGAATTGGGTTATATGCGTTTAATTGGCACAAAATATTGTCAAAGCCAAAAACATAAATGATCCTAAAATAATGTTATTAAATATTATGTCCCGAGCCGATCTCAAGGATCGGGGCCGATCAAGCATTTTTTTTTTTAACCGATTACTCTCTGCACAAATCTGTATACATTGGATTGAATTGAATAACTTTAATGTACTTGAAGTGTGCACCAAACATACATTCCTATAGGAATATACAAGTATTTGATCGGGACTCTGTATCGGCAGATATTCAATATACTATGACTCGAGTCGGATCGGGACATCCCCATTAAATAGCGTTTTATGCCAGATTCAATTTCTTTTTAATGTTTTTTTTATTTTATTTTTTTTACTTTGAGGTTAAATGTAACCCAGACTTTTGACAGATTATATTAAATTCACCACCTCATACTAAATTACACTTTGTCCTATACATGCCAGTTTAAGCACAACTTTATAAAAATAGGATTAAATCACATCACACCAGTAGTGTCACCGACTTGTGAATGTAAGAAAGAAAGAAAGTGTAATTGTGGTTTTGTACAAGTACATGAAAATGCTTGGTTTTGCGTTTTGAGTTTTATACTAAATCATATTCCCACGTTTCCCTTTGCAGCTGTGAGGGTAAACTCTTATGAAATGGCATATGCACTGATAAGGGGAGGCGCCTTCGTGGGGCAGCTGTGTTTGAAGAAGTGGACGGCCACCCATGAGGCTGCTAAGGTGGGTTGCGTGGACATCCTGATGCTGTTGCTGAGACACGGGGGGAAGGTGATGGGACGGGACGGGCATGGGGTCACACCGCTGGGCATCGCCGCAGGGTACGGCCATCTGGAAATACTGGCAATCCTTATCCAACATGGTAAGTCAGGTGTATGCAAGTCTGACCAAGAATCAACTCTAGATCCGTCCCTATAGTAAATGATGAATTTAGTTAATATTAAATAACAAAAATGGATCAGATTTAAATGTAACCTACTGGTGATAAATACTATAAATTATCTTTTTTTACTGGTGTGCAAATTTACTTAGTTTAGCTAATTATTAATAAAATGTCATGCATAAAAATCTGGAAATTGCGACTTTTAAATCGACCAGCATGAAATAAATAATGCATAAATAAAGGAAGTGGCATTTTTTTCTGCTTGGCGCGCTGCATACGTAAAGGCTAGTGTTACAAAAGAGCAGAAAATTTCCGGACACTTCCCAGAATTTTTGCAAACTTTCTGGGATCTTTTTTTGGAAACTTTTCTGCCCCTTTGCAACCCTAATTAAGGCCCATTCACACCAAGCACAATAACTATAATGGTAATTATAACTATAAAGTTTTAAACGGGTCATGAACTGCCTTTTTATTATTATTTTGTACTGTTCTCTGAGGTCCACTTATAATGTCATCAAGACTTTTACATAAAAAAAAACATAATTCAGAAGTAATAGGCTATTTTCATAGATGGATGCTGCTGTGATTTAGGTTAAAAACGCATAAATAGTCAGTACAGGCCTTTTTGCCATGTTTAAAATAATGTATTCTATTTACTTCTATTAAGATTTGTACAAAATGAATCATTTGATTAAATATGCATTCTCAACTATAAGGCATTTAAAGGTTCATTCCCCAAAAAGGAATGTCTTTGCTCTCACCTTTAGGGGCCGACGTCACAGCACAAGCTACAAATGGAGACAGTGTGATATATGACGCCGCAGGCTGTGGGAACCTGGACTGTATTGATCTACTTTTACAATATGGTGCCAATCCTAATGTAGCCAGTCTTTGCGCTCAACTGCCGATTCACCGCGCAGCCTACGAGGGGCGTTACCTGTGAGAGCACAGCAAATCAATCTCGCCACACTTCACCAAACAACTCTGCACTAATAATTATATTCTCTCTCTTTAAACGGACAGGGCTCTGAAGAAGTTAATTCCCATCACCAATAGGAAGGCCATCGGTCTGTGTGGGATGAGTCCGGTTCATTCTGCGGCAGACGGAGGCCATGCTGACTGTCTTGAGCTGCTCATCAAGAAAGGTTTTGACGTCAACCCAATCCTGGGCTGCCATATTTCCGAAAACTACGGTGACATGAGGAAGACCCCACTGTACTTCGCCATCTGCAATGGAGACGTCACCTGCGCCAAGATGCTTCTGAAATCAGGTGCGAAGCCGGATCTGGACCCTCTGCGCTGCCTCCTGGTGGCGGTCAGAGCTGAGAAGTACGAGCTGGTGTCGCTGCTTCTCGCCTATGGGGCGGACGTCAACTGCGTCTTCTCTGTCATCAGTGACACCGTATTTCCTACGGCATTGCAATATTGCCTCGAAGATGAAATGATGCTGCGCCTACTCCTTAACAACGGTTACCATGCAGAAAGCTGCTTTGAGTGTTACCATGACAACTGGGTAACAACAGAGGCTCCTAGCCAGTCGTACCAAATCAGGAGCGATACGAATAAAGTAACCGTAAGAATCATGTTTGGGGTCTAGAAAACAACGTGGTGAATTCACTAACAGTTGCAGCACTTATTCACTAATAAGTCTTATTCACTAAACACCTGAAAATGCAATAAACATTGCAATGAGAGGTTTTATAGTGAACTCAAATCAAGAGCAATCTGAACAAAGTGACTCTAAAGCATCATGTTTGGGGTCAAGAAAACAATGGTGCGGTGTTGGGCCTTATGCGTCTTATTCAATAACCACTTAAAAACCAGCGTAACCAGGCACTACCTGTGCTGATATAGCACTGCAACTTAAACATTTAAAACCCAACTCATATCGGTGTAAATTAGGTTTCTTAAAGAATGTATTGTCACAATAAATTTTGTGCTGTTATCGTTTTGTGTGTGTGTGTGTGTGTGTGTATTTTATTGTGATCACTATAACAATGCAAAAAGAGGTCGCAATTCGTTCTTAGTTAATGTCTATATTTATATGTGGCCTAATTATGCACTCTGTTCTGTGTTTGAAGTTTTGCGAGTTTATTAGCGTGGCATGGATGGCGCATTTGGCGGGGAGGGTGGTGCAGACACTCCTAGATTACGTGAATCACGTGGACATCTGCTCTAAACTGCAATGCATTCTGGAGAGACAAGAGGAGTGGCCTGATATCTGTGAAACCCTCAGTAAGACACTTCTGTTTACTATTCATGTCATTCCTTACCTGTATGAAAACAAATAACAATTTCTTTACGTCTATTTGTTATTAGGGAACCCTCGCCCTCTGAAACACCAGGCCAGGTTGGTTATCAGGAGACGTACGACACTGAGACGACTGAACGACCCAGAGTTCATGAGCACCGTTCCTTTCCCCCCTGCACTGAAGAACTTCCTACTCTACAAAGAATATGATATTTATGGTCGAATGGATGAACAGTAGATATATGTATCTATACACTGTAAAACCTAACAGTGAAAATCACTACATGAAAAAAGTTTTGAAATTTAAAAAAGTTAATTCAACTCAATAAATATTTCTGATGTGAACTCAAAAACGAGTTATATTAAGCACAACTCAATCGGAATAAGTTACTAAAAAATATTTTAACTAACGATTTAAGTTAAAGAAAACCATTTAATCTACTATTAGGTCTATACGTATTTTGATCACAAAATATTTCAAAGAAATTTGAGCTTACTTAATATTTAACAATTTATTTTAAATATTGATTCCCAAGAAATCACGTTTGTGTAGAGTGGGGCTCTAGGTTATTATATTTATATCTTTCATAACTAATTAAATAACTAAAAGATAATATAATAAATGCATATATCTATCTCATAAAAAGCCAAAATGAAGTCTTTTAAAGTAATTACTTTTACTCGAGGCAGAATATTATCCCGGTGTGTTTCCCAAAAATAAACAAACAAAAACAAACAAACAAAAAAACGCGCGCTTATTTTCAGTCGGTCAAGTGAAGCCCCACCGGACAGCTCGTGCTCACGGAAAATAACAGGCAAGTTTTTCCAGCGTCTTAATCCCCATTTAGTGCACTTTTGAACGTTTTATGTTCTGTTGTGCTTCTTTACCTGAAGATTAAAGGCAGAGTAAGTGATTTCTGGTAGTCAGTTAACCTAATGTGTGTAAGAGTTAATGTTAGCTAGCAAAGAAGTGATGAGCCAACACGCCATTACATCAAAGTTATCAACGGCAAGTGTTTTACACTACATTTTACCAGTGGAAAATTAAGAAATATTTTTTGTACTTTCTCACAGTCGGACACAGGCAAACGAGTCTCGCAAATTTTATTTTCAAACCAGAAAGACGGCTGACAGACCATCTTCCACATCTCTAACCGTCACTCTCGCCACAGAAACTGAAGCAAGGGGTAAAGCAAACCCACATTCCCAATATTACAACGTTTGAACTTTTTGTTAATCATTGTTTTTGATTCGCTTCATCAGTTTCATCTAGAATATCCCTGTGATGCTAATGAAGCTTACTAAATCCGCCAAAAAAGCGGCTCGAGGAGGGTTTATGATAGCTGTAAAACATTAGTTAAAGGTGCAATAGGTCATTTTAGACTGTTATTTGCTCTTCACGTTGTCTTATTTGAAACTCATACTAAAAAAATGTTGTCATGCTTTTGAAATCAATCTGTTCAGAGCAAAGGCAGCGAGGGTTTTTGTGATGTCAATGGCTACAAGATGGCTGCTATTGACAATACTACTGCAGGTTATGAGCTTACAATGAAGTAAGTAGAATTCACATGGAATAAATCGATGGGCTTTAGTGTTGTACGAGATGTAATTTGTCAGGTTATAAACCGTTACTTAAATACATAATTCTTCAGTTTTTATTCTTGGATAAATTGCTATTATTAATGCAAATGTAATAATGACCAGACATTTCTTGCAGCACAAATGGTAGGTCCCAATAGCAATACAATACGGATTATTAGACTGAAATTTAAATCTGAACTTTGATCAAATTATTCATACACTGCCCAGATGAAAAATAATAGTTCAATTACCCTAATTTTGTGTTTTGTCTTTAAGGACAATAATGGCATTGATACCATTCACACTGGCAGATATATTACTATCTGAAAAGAAGAGCCAGCAGAGGTTTTCAAGACACACAGGTTATAAGGACACATGTCAGGACAACATTATATTTACTTTGCAACATTTGAACCTTTTAGCTGACATCAGAATAAATGCATGGCTCGGGTAGAGAGACTGAATAATTGAGCAATCAAGTTGTCTTAAATGAATAGTCCACTTACAAATGAAAATTCTGTATTCATTTTGTCATACATTTTTTAACAGAAAAAATTTATAAATTTTTTGACATTCATTGTTTTTGTCTATCCGTTGAAAGTCTAGGCGATCTTTATTTTCAAGCTTCAAAAGAACTTTTAATTTAGCCTTTTATTCACATTTAAACATTGAACAATGCACTCTTGTAGATCACAGGATATATTGTAAATGGAAGCTCAAGTGTGAAGGCTCCGATCCTTCACACCTTTGTCATTTATGAAAACTTAAATATGGTGTCTGCCCTCATAAGGGTATTTTTTTATGATATGTGGTGACATACACTATTTTTCCCCCCACTGCATTTAGAAAAAGGAGCCTGATCAGGTGCAGAAGGCAGCAGTCACCATCACTGAAGAGTGAACATGTTTTAATTGCATTTGAAGATGAGATGATGTCTGCCAAGTGTTGGGTCAGTGCATTGGTACGGGGTTTTTTTGCACTCATTTTTAAACATTTCCTTGTTTGTGGTCTTGACTTATTTGGTGAAGTGTCTGATAAGATTGTTTAAATGTTATATTTTTGACTATAAAGTCCACTGATTTTGTTTTATGTTTGAAAACATCTTGTGAAGTAAATGTTGCATTTCAATAAACACTTAAGAATGCCCTCCTGTTCTGTCATCATTTCTTTGTACCAATGTTATTTTTTGCTTAGTCTTATGTAACTATTACTTTGAGTTTGAAGGACTTGAACCATTTAAGGCAATCGGTTTCCTCAAACCATTTAAGTAACTATATAGTTGTTAAGACTTTTTTTGTTACCTGAATTCAAACTGACTGAGTGAAATAAACTTAAAATCTTTAAGTTGAGTTTGCTCTAATGATTGACTAAACCAACACTTAATGTATATAAACTTAATGTATATGAGTTTACAGTACTCATATTTATTTGTTTTAAAACAAATGGTTTAAGGCAATCGGTTTCCTCAAACAGTTTGAGTTACCGTAACTTTTCGGGTTTTACAGTGTATTTTATTCCAATTTATTTATATGAGTGAACCAATTGTAACAGTGTTATTTTGTGATAATGTAAAGATGTTTGTTTATAAACAATATTACCATGATTATATAATTTTCATATGTTAATGCTCACAAAACATATCAAGAGCATGTCCAGGTCACATTTCACCTTAAAACCAAATGAAAAATAAATAAATAAATAGAAAGAAAATTTTTTGTTTTGTTTTATGCATATGCACCTTTTTTCAATTTTGGAGTGAAACTTGACCTGAACATGATTCTGACAGGTTTCCTCAAATTTACTCTAAATAGTCTGCAGTGTGTAAATATACAGTATATGCTACATAAATAGTTTACTCTGGAAACATTTTGACCGACATTGTATTTTTATCACATTTTTAAACCATAACAATTTGACACATTTCAAACTTCACCTACACTGATCATGGCCCCAGTCCAAAAACACTGGATTTTGTGGAAACTGTTGTTGCTAGAGGCACTTGTTATCAGACCAACAACATTCCTGCACGGTCAACGCCAGTCGGCGTCTGCAGAGATGCAGCGGACATTGTGTTCCTGTCATAAACACAGATCCTAGCCTTACATGGCTGTTTGGATCCTATGGGACAACAAACAGCTTATCTGAGCGTTCACATAAAACACATAAGAGAGAAGAGGATTTATTAAATCCTCACAATGGTTCATGCCAGGCTGATAACAGTTCTTCGGATAATCTGCCCCTCACTATTAGCCTGTGACGTGTTACTTTAGCTCTATGTGGTATTTTTGGCACACATAAAAAAACTAAAATCACTTAAGAGTATTCTGGGTAGTCAAATTCTAAACATACAAAATAAATTGACGATAACATTTGTCAACAACACTAAATTGTACCAGTAGCAGTGCTACTGGCAGTAGCTAGTTGTGATTTCATTTAATGCACCATTATAACACAAGTAACTACATACAGAGCAATTTAGAATAGATTTTCCTATTTAAGCGTTTCAAATTCAAGTACATACCACCTTGCTGGAAATAACGACTTGCTATTATAAGGACATTACCATTTCTCTAGCCATCTCCTCAGAGTCTATCTGCTTATTTTGGACATGAACAATGCAGTCAGCATTCACTTACAGGCCTCGCTGTGACCATGTTGTGAGTTCACATGCTGATTGACTCCTGCCTCCCAAAAAAGCAACGGCATCATGGGCTGGGGCTTTGTATCAGGTCTCTCTGATCCTGCTCTTAAGACTCTTTCCAGCTGCCCACCACAGCACACGAGCACTCACTCTCGCTTACACCACTCGAAAGATCCCAGACACCAGATCCCAGAAAGATCTGATGCACCAATACTGTGACAAATCCAAGACTTTTAAGACTCTGAGAAGACGACCGAGAGGCCATGAGTACATTCGGCTACAGGCAGGAACTGAGTAAGTATGAGGATTTGGATGAAGATGAGCTGTTGGCCTCGCTGACTGCTGAGGAGCTCCAGGAGCTGGAGAAGGAGTTGGCTGATATTGACCCAGACGACAACCTTCCCATTGGACTGCGACAGAGAGATCAGACAGCTAAGACTCCCACTGGAACATTCAGCAGGGATGCTCTTATGAAATACTGGGAAAACGAGACTCGAAAACTGTTGGAGGAGGAGAGGATCGGATCCACAAGCCCTAGACAGGTGAGTGATCAACAACCTCAAACACTAATTATACTGTCAGAAAAAAAAGTGCAAAAATTTTACTTTTTGGGGTACAACAGCTTGTCATTAGGGTAGTACTCAATAAAGAGACACGTTTGTCTCTTATTTACCTATAAAGGGTGCATATTAGTACCTTAGAATAGGAATATGTACCCTTAGGGTAGTAATATATACTCTTATGGTACTACTATAGGGGTAAATAAGGTAGTCCATTTGAGGGTGCTGCCCCAGTGTTAAGCTATGAGTGTGAGATTTAAAGGATTAGTCCACCCAAAAATGAAAATTCTGTCATTAATTACCCTCATGTCGTTTCAAACCCGTAAGACCTTCGTTCATCTTCAGGAACACAAATTAAGATATTTTTGATGGAATCTGAGAGCTGTCTGACCCTCCATAGACAGCAACGCAACTGAAATGTTCCCAAGTCCAGAAACGTAGCAAGGAGATCTGTAAAATAATCCATGTGACATCAGGGGGTCATCCGCAATTATACGAAGCTACGAGAATACTTTGTGCGCAAAAAATAAATAAATAAATAACGAATTAATTCAACAATTCGTCTCCTCCGCATCACCCTGGTGACATTTTGGAGAATATCCGCTGGACGTAAAACAACGTATGCTGTTCTGTGTCAGCTGCGTCATGCCGGATCGGTTTCCTACGTTGTTGTGATTTGATCTGAACGGAAACAGCATATCTGCATGGCGCCGCTAAATTTCAGTTGCGTTGCTGTCTATGCAGGGTCAGACATCTCTGAGATTCCATCAAAAATATCTTAATTTGTGTTCCGAAGATGAACGAAGGTCTTACGGGTTTGAAACGACATGTGGGTGAGTAATTAATGACATAATTTTTGGGTGAACTAACCCTTTAAACTCAAGAAGAGTATATGCTTTATTTGAAGATTTTAATTTGAATTGTTGAACGGTTACGATTGGTTAACTTTCGCAAAGACGACAAATGGTTTACATACCGTCATAATCTGGGTAAAGGAATGACACCATGGGTATTTCGAAAAGCAATGAGAAATCAAAATGACGAACACTTCTCGAAATACGCCACCAGATCTCATAATAAAAGAGGAACAACAGCACCAATGTTGTTTTAACAATGACTTTGTTGATTCCAGAAAGATGAAGACAGCAGGGAAGAGGAGGAATGCATGACTGAGAGCGACAATGAAGAATCTGGGGATGAAAAAGACGAGGCTGAAAAACATGAGAAAGACATACAAAAATATCGGGAAGCTGAACAAGACCAAGAAGAGGAAAGTGAACCAGAGGAGCCGATAACAGAAGAAGAGGATGTGGAAGAAGATGAGGAAGAAGAGGAGGAGGAAGAAGAAAATGAAGAAGAGAACAGTCCTAAAATAGCACCGACATTGGATTGTACCACTCACCCACAGCAGTGTTGGTCTTCCAATGGTCAGTCCAATCAGAGACAGGCAGAGCCTGTAATACGATACTCTCCACTGATGAGTGAACCAAAAGTCCAAGTTCAGGAGCCCAGTCGCATGTCAGGAAACCCTACTGTGGTGGACGAGGTTCTGGAAAAGATCCTCACCAATGACCCAGATACCACCGAGGTCAACCTCAACAACATTGATAATATCTCCCAAGACACACTTATCCAATTTGCAGAAGCCTTACGTTCGAACCCACACGTACGTTTTTTTAGCCTTGCCAACACACATGCAGATGAGCAGGTGGCTTTTGCCATTGCCAAGGTGCTGAGAGAAAACAGCAACATCACAAATCTTAACATCGAGTCCAACTTCATTACAGGGAAGGGTATCCTGGCACTGGTGCAAGCCCTCACCCGAAACAGTACTCTTACGGAAATGCGATTTCACAATCAGAGGCACATTTGTGGAGGTCAAGTGGAAATGGAGATTGTAAAGTTACTGAGGGAGAATACCACGCTGATAAAGTTGGGTTACCAGTTCGACCTTCCTGGCCCTCGTATAAGCATGACGACCATTCTTACCCGCAACCAAGACCTCCAGAGACAGAAGAGAATGCAGGAGCTGCGCCACCAGCAAGGAGGTGCAGCGATGCCAACAAATCCAAGAACAGTCGCCCTTCAGAAGAGCACGACCACCTCTTCTCCTTACAGCTCCCCTCGGAGTTCACCATGGTCATCTCCAAAGTTACCACACATTGATATGGCAAAGAAGAATGCTCCCCCTGCTCCTCCACCACCACCACCACCTCCTCCTCCACCACCACCACCCCCAACATCCAAAGCCGTGTTATTTTGACACTGAATTGACATTTGACATTTGATGAGATAAGATTTTTTTAATGCTTTTTCATTAAATAATATGAACATTTTCTTAAGTGTTTATGGTATGAAACATTTAAAGACAATAATGTTTTGTATAAAGCATATTAAAGTATGTATGTAATTTCAGACATGTTTTATTCTTTTTATGATGTACTCACATAAATTGAAGAAAAACATCTAAATGCTTTAGTGTGCGGTTAAAAATTCAAATAGTTATTCTTTAATGGATTGATACTTAATTTTCAAAGCTGTCATTGTCAATGTAACTTTTATTTTTTTTAAAGTGACGCACCACCACCCCCAACATCCAAAGCCTCCATCCCAGAGAAGAAGGCTCCCTCCAGAATGATCGCAGAAGTCATCAAAGAGCAAGAGGGGACTTCTACGAAACAGCAGACGGGTCCCACCAAATCTAAATCCAAAAAGGGAAAAAAAGGGGCTGCAAAACAAACAGAGACTGACAGCATATTAAAGGAACTTAAGAACACTTTGAGACCCATCAATGACAGAGAGTTCTCCAGACCGTCCACACCTCAACGCTGCGCTCATGATGAACTCATGGCCGCAATCAGAGGCAGTAACATCAAAAATCTCAGAAGGGTGAGTATCGCAAAGACCAGGGATCTCCAACCTTGCTCTTGGAGCGTTACCGTTCTGCAGACTTCAGTTCCAGCTCTGCTTCAACACACCTGCCTGTAATTATCAAATAACCCTAAACACCTTGATTAGCTGGTTCAGGTGTGTTTGATCGGGGTTGGAGCTGAAATCTGCAGGACAGTAGCTCTTCAGGAGCACGGTTAGAGAACCCTGGTAAAGACCAACAGAGTCAGTTCCAAAACCTAGTGAGATTTTTTGCCGTCTACCGCCTTCTTAGTCAGCTTCCTACCTGAACTGGAGCCTCAAATGACAGATTTGTAAAACTCCACACAAGCAGCAACCTTGTGAATCATGCAAATGGGGGTGTCCAGTCCTGCTCCTGGAGGGCCAACATCATGAAGAGTTTAGCTCCAACCAGCTTCAACACACTTTCCTGGAAGTTTCTAGAGAGTCTGAAGACCTTGATTAGCTCTTTAGGACTGGAGCTAAACTTCGCAGGACAGTGGCCCTCCAGGAACAGGTTGGGACACCCCTGACCTATGCAATCCGCACAAGAGAATCACGACTGATTTCAAGGGTTTGGCATGTTGCTAAGTTCGTGCATATTAGGGAAAATAGTACATTTTACAATAGACTGAATTTACTTTTAACAATGATTTTCAGTATTGAGAAAACTATATTTATCAACATTTCTCTCACTTTGTCTTCTATCTTGGATGGATTTTTTTTCACTGAGCCTGTCGCAACGCATTTTGAAATTGCCTTCACAACAGATTCATGCAATGCAGTCTTAGAATTCGGCAAAAAATGTAGCTTATGCTGTCTAGGTATTGGAAGAGAAGAATAGATGTGGGGAAATTAATGAGATTATACAGTAATCAAAACTCAACCAGAGTTTGTTTATTGTGGCAGTGGACAATTCAGCATTACCCTCACGAGGCATCCTGACCCCACAAATTCCTCACATTTAATGTTGCTATAAATAGAGACTATTTTGCACGTCTTGATAAGGCAGATGCCTTCTAGTGTTGTGGAAAATGGAAAATAGTTTGAGTACACAGGATTTTCATTTAGGTAAACAAAACAAAAACAGAATGCTTGTCTTGATTTTATTTTTGATTGCATATAATGTACTGTATTATTGATATGCAATCAGTAAGGTCAAATTCAATAATCAAATTCAAAATAGTTGCACAATGAATAAATTTGATTACACTAGAAAAAAATGGGAGATCTGACCTTATAATTCTTCACAGGTGGAGGTTCCCAAGTAACTTCAGTAACCAGACTGTAAGACAGAACAGGAAACCCATCTCCAGAGCATCATCTGCAAAAACATTGGTAAATACAGATACTGTGTGCTCTTCTCGGAGTCACACCAACCTTCGGAACAATTCTGATTAATGCAGGTGTTTGGTGAGATGGCATTAAATGTTTGAAGATAATGGTACAACTGACAAATTCTGTAAATGTGCACTTGAGAACAACACAGGGGCATGTTTAATTTAAAACAACAGGGTTTTCTGTATTGGGAATGACCTGAATATTTGCACTGTATTAATTTTTTTTATTGTTATTACAATTAGTAATAGTGGTAGTTTCTGCTGTTGTTGTGATTGTACTCTTGTTTTTAAATGAAAAATCGACTTCATCTTGTTAATGATTTTTAACTCTATTTCATGTCTGTACAAATGTAAATATTTGACTTGATTTAAAATGATTAAATGCCATTAATTCAATAATCAATTGAAATTACCATTAATTCTGCCATACGGTGTAATACTACTAACCAAAACAGTTGCAAAGGTCAGAAGAATAACCTTCCAAAAGCAAGGCCTAAATGACTTTGCTGGAACGGGAGAGTATTAGTTGTATGAATAGCAGTATCTTAATCAGGACCCTGTATGTTTGTACATTCCCTGGGACTAAATCCACTCCGCAGCTGTTCACCGTGAACAGAGAAATGTTTTTAGCAGCATCGGCAGGAACAGCAGCGAAGTTTGTGTTCAGGCAAAGAGCTTTTTTGAAAGGCAAATACTTTTCCACAGAAGGTTATATGCACATTATTCAGCATTGTTAAGGTGTTAATCAACTTCTAACATTTTTTCCATGTATAATAAAGCATGCAGTAGATGTTTAAAGCATGGATGCAACTTCTGATGACATGCGGTCACAAGGACTTTTAAAAAACTAGAAAAGAAAATAAGAAATAAATTAAATACAAATTTAAGAAAATCCAAGGAATAAATTGAATTAATCAAAATTAAGTATCTGCCAATGGGGCTAGAAATTACCTTTTCAAATGGAAAAAATTTAAGACATTTTAAGGCCTTAATTTGTGAAAAGGGCTAATTAAAGGGTTAGTTCACCCAAAAATTAGCCCATAAATTACTCACCCTCAAGTCATCCTAGGTGTATATGACTTTCTTCTTTCAGACGAATCCAGTCGGAGTTATATTAAAAATTGTCTTTGAACTTTCAAGCTGTTTCATGGCACTCAGCGGGTGTTGCATGCTTCAGTCCAAAACAAGTTAAATAAAAAGCGCCCATCCATAAAAAAAAATGTCTCACACGGCTCCGGGGGGTGAACAAAAGCCTCCTGTAGCGAATCGATGCGTTTTTGTAAGAAAAATATCCATATTCAAAACGTAATAATCACTTAACATCAATGCGGAGAAGATCTTGTTTACATCAAAAGCGAAACCAAGCCGTTCACACAGAACGCATATTTCGCGCATTTTCTAGAGGGACATCTATCACCGTTGCACTCGCATCTTGCACAAAGGAGCCGCATGTTTAGCAAGCCATGTAAAATTAATGCAAGTTTAACTTTGAAAAAAAACAGAGACTTTATTGCAGGTTTTTCCCCATCCCACTGCATCTCATGATTTTAAATGAAAAATGTACTCTGCGTGATTGGCTTTCCGCCCTTTGTAATAAACTATGCATACATACATGATGCTGTTTTGTTTATAGTTGTTTAAGCAACTTAATTATAATTGGTTTATAAACATTATTTTAAACATTATGCACTTTTTTTCCCGCAGATAGTCATGTTATCTTATGCTTTGAATGATGCGCCCTCTTGTGGCCTCAAGAGAGAAGCCAAAAGCTTTTCTTCACCCTAACTGAAATTATGCATTTTAAATTCGAATATAATTCGAATTTTGATAATATGCAAGTACAAAATTCTAATTGAGTTTTTCAGCCATTTTGACAGCCCTAGCCTCCTGTAGCGAATCGATGCGTTTTTGTAAGAAAAATATCCATATTCAAAACTTAAATCACTTTAATGTACCTTGCGCTCACTGTTGTAAAGGGAAGCAGTTCCGGGGGAATGACGTATGAGGTCGGCTTTGCGCATGCGCCGCTCAGAAGTGACGCACGCGGAAACGGAGAGATCAAAACAAAACAACGTCACTAATTAGAAGTACAAAACGAGGATTTGTAAAGAAGAATGTCG